TGTCCTGTCACTCTACCCCAGTGTGATCCAGTTCTGTCCTGATTCCTGACCTCTGACTTCTGTACTTTCTCCCCACCCTGTACTATCCTCTGGTCCCTCTCCTGACTCCTGATCTCCATCCTGGCTCACCACCTTTAAATATCCTCTCCTATCTCTTGCCCTGTCCCTGCCCCCAACCCTGTCCTTATTTTCCCTCTTTTCTTGCCCCGTCACCATCCTCATTCTGTCCTGGTCTTTTCCTGTTCCTGACCTCCATCCTGAACCTGTCCTTTTCCCTATCCCCTCCCTTGACCACTGGCTTGGCCTGCCCCAGTCATGTCTCCTGGCTACAGTTCTATATTGACCCTGACCTCTGCCCTTCTGTTTTGTTTCTTTCTTGTACTTTTTCTCTGACCCCTGTCCTAAACCTCATTTCATCCCATCCCTGTCCTGCCTCTTGACCTCCATCCTACAATGACTCTGGTTCTGTCTTGTTCCCTACACTCCTTCCTGTCCTGTTGCTTCTTCCTATCCCAACCCCAGGTCCCTGTTCTACCCCTTTCCATGCCCCTCTACTGTGTTCAGATCTTCCTCCTTCCTAACACCCACTTCCCATCCTTTCTGAGCCCAGGACAGGGGTTCCATTATGCCCTGCCCCTGAACTTGAAGGTTCTGCTGTTCCGAGGGCCTCTGAAATACATCCCATATGCTTCTCTTAGCAAGAGCAAGCAGCCTTGCGTGCCGTGTGGCTGATGGGTTTTCGTATGTGATTTACCGCACCCCACCCTAGTGATCTCACATAGAGCTTGCATTTCTCTTCCTGCCCCAGGAGGGCATGGAACTGTTCCTATGCCCCTGCCCTCCCCAAGTGTGAAAGAATAACCTAAATTATTCAGTGACTTTCTGGGAGTCTGGGAGGTCTGGGTCATGTTTCCAACCTTGCTATGAAAGGATGGGGGACCCAGGGGTATGTATGAATCTTCTAGGTCATGTTACCCCCATCTCCTGGTCTTGATCCTGGGTGTATGATCCCTTCTTTTTTTTTTTTTTTTTTTTTGAGACAGAGTCTCACTCTGTTGTCCATGGTTGAGTGCAGTGGCGTCATCGTAGCTCCCTGCAACCTCAAACTCCTGGGCTCAAGTGATCCTCCTGCCTCAGGCTCCCGAGTAGCTGAGACTACAGGCGTGTGCCATGACGCCTGGCTAAGTTTTCTATTTTTAGTAGAAACAGAGTCTCACTCTTGCTCAAGCTGGTCTCGAACTCCTGACCTCAAGCAAGCCTCCTGCCTCGGCCTCCCAGAGTGCTAGGATTACAGGCGTGAGCCATCACTCCCACGCACGATCCCTTCTTTCCTGGCCTGAATGAAAGTCCACTCTAAACCAGAGGCTTCAGAACTTGGTAGAGGAGGGATAGGGGCAGGGTTTTATCCCCCTTTCTTTCCAAAGTAAGCAATAAAAATCCTGGCTCTAAGTCCACCCCACCTCTGGGGACTGGTCTGGGGCAGGGGGCAGGTGGTCACTGGATGTTAGAATCAGGCTCATCTAGTAGTAGTAGCAATAAAAACAACAAAAATGCAGGGTTCCCTTGTTTGAATCTCATTGATTCTGAGGGTGGATGGGGAGATTTTGGATAGTGAGGGGATAATGTGTTATTTAATTATGTTTTGTTCCTGCATTTCTCATAGAGCATAGTGAGTTCGAATAATGAGATACCGGATCCATCTTATTTATCCCAAGTATTTATCCAAACCTATTTATAACAACACAAGCATTCCTCACTGTCCCAACCTATTTGGTACCTGAGTTCTGAGAGGGAGAATTCTGGAAGTTTAGACAGTGAAACATACCAAGTTTTCTGAAGGTAGTTTTTTTTCTCATTTTACTTAGCAAGTAGGGAAAGTTCAGTTAATGAGGAATAATGACTCTAACTCAAAAGCATATCCAAATCCATTAACTTTCCTGAACTCCAGGGGCAAGAGTTGGGATAGTGAGGGTACCCTGTTGTGTAAACATACTTGCTTTCTGCATTTTGCCTGGTGTGTAAGGAAAACTCAAGAGTGAGTGATACCTGTTCTATCTCAAAAATGTATCTAAATCCATTCAGTTCCTGCATTTGGATAGCAAGAGTTCAGACAATTTATCTGAAAGTATTTGGTTCCTGCATTTTTATTTTGAGTAGGGAAGAGATCGGATAACTAGGAAAAACAGTTCTGTTTCAAATATGTCATGTTTGACAAGTAGGAAGGGTCCCATGTCTGGATAATAAGTAGGGCGGGTTTGAAGGCCGAGGGATACCAGCTCTGTTTCAAAAATGCATCTGAATACATTTAATTTCTGATTTTGGATAGTGAGAGTTCAGACAAGTTATCTGAGAGAAAATAGCTCTGTTTCAAATGTGTCAAGTGAGTCTGAGGGAGACCAATTCTGTCTCCAAAAAAAAAAAAAAATTGTATCCAAATGTATCTATTTGATTCCTCAGTTCATATGGGGAGGGATACTTGTGATTATGACAGCCAGCACATTTTGAACACTTACTGAGGGCCTCTCCTATGCAAGCTTTAAATGTATTAACTGGGTCGGCGGTGGCTCACGCCTGTAATCCTAGCATTCTGGGAGGCCGAGGCTGGGGGATTGCTTGAGCCCAGGAGTTTGAGGTTGCTGTGAGCTAGGCTGATGTCACAGCACTCTACCCAAGGCAACAGAGTGAGACTCTGTCTCAAAAAAAATAAATAAATAAAAATAAAATTAAATGAATGTATTAACTCATTTAATGTTCACAACCACCCTGTGAGACACGTACTGTTATCATCATCCACATTTTATAGATGAGGACATTGAGGCACAGAGAGGTTAAGTGACTTGTCCAAGCAGTCACATAGCCAGTAAGTGGCAGAGCTGGGTTGAATCCCAGACTCAGGGATTTACTAGCCATGCAGGACCATGTGAGGCTCAGGACTCGGCTGGGGTAGGGCTTAGACATTGGGTTGTCTTAGAGGTTGGCTGTTAAAAGTTGGGGACCAGGGCAACGATGTGTGTGGGTGACTGTGCCCGGCTTGTCTGCCTGGCCCAGGAGGTCCCATTATCTGCTCTCCCCACTGACCCCCAAACTAGCCCACCTCTGTGTGAGTTTATTTTTGTTGTTATTAACAGCCATTAATGACATGCTATGAGTTTCCTTGCACTTTTTTTTTTTTTTGAGACAGGCTCTTGCTCTGTTGCCCGGACTAGAGTACAGTGCCATTATCATAGCTCACTGCACCCTCAACCTCAGATTCCTGCCTTAGCCTCCTGAGTAGCTGGGACTACAGGCATGGGCCTCTACACCTGGCTAACCTTTCTATTTTTTTGTAGAGACAAGTTCTCACTATGTTGCCCAGGCTGGTCTCAAACTCCTGGCCTCAAGTGATCCTCGTGTCTTGGCCTCCCAAAGTGCTAGGATTACAGGCATGAGCCTGGCCAGTTTCCTTACAATTTGAAAAGCTTTCCAAAGTTACTTTGGCCTCCATTGTCTCACAACCACCTTTTACCCATTTTACAGATGAGGAAACCTAAGCTTTGAGACTCAATCCACGTTGCCAGCCAGATTCTCTTGTCCCTCTTGGCTCCGATTTTATAAATATCCCTTTTCCCAACATCCTCGGTGGCCCACAAGAGGTGGGAGAGGCCATGGCTGAGAGGACACTCCCCGCTGACACCCAGCTGCCCACCTTGCTGCCGCCACCTCCACCAGCCCCGGGCAGCAAAGGAGGGGAAAGGGGGAGGGCTATGAAAGAGGCCTTTGTGTCCCTTGCTGGAAATCTCACACCCAGGAAGAGAGGTGGGCAGGGATGGTGGGAAGCCTTGCTAGCGTGTGTTCGGGGCATCGTGATACAGAGGGAGCTTCTCTCTAGGCTTGACCCACCTGCCAAGTGCAGGGAGAGCTTTCCTTATCACTCTGCTGTTTCACATCATGGCGTGGGCTGCAGCAGGCGCCTGGGTGGGGCTTGGGCCCTGAGGTCACAGAGCAGATGGTCCCAAATGGAGCACAGGATGTGTGCTATGTGCCAGCATAGGCCCAGGGCCCAGGTGGTGGTGTGGGGGGAAACAGTACACTGTAGGTACTCAAAGCCCTCAATTTCCTTGTCTGGCATGAAGCCTGACTCCTGCCCTGAATGCCCGAGGAGGGGAATGGGGGAGGCCCAGCATGGATGTCAAGAAGCATGAGCCCCCCTCCCTCCTCCTCCTCCTTTGCAGGAGTAGCCTCTGTCAGCCTCCAACTCAGGACCCAGCCCCCCAAGTTCCGATTCCACCGTGATCTGAATCAGGCCTCTTCACCTCTCCAAGCCTCAGCTTCCACATCTATAAAATGGCTATGAGGAGGCTGAGTATGTGCCATCCTCCCAGGTTTGTGGGGACCAAGAGGGGTTAAAACACATGAGTGTTTTGTAGGGCATAACTTATGGTTGGTTTACTGGGATTATTTCTTCTGGAGCTGCAGAAGGTGATGAGGTCTTGAGACCTGGCCTCTCTTTGGAAAGGTCAACTTCCTCTGTTCCCAACTTGGGAAATTATTACCTCAACGAGGGTGGGAATTGCCCTAAGACTTTCTCCCACCTGGCCTTGCCCTGAGAGGAAAGGGTAGGGGCCTCAGGAAGGTGATAGGCTGCCAAGAGACACAAACTGGATTTACACCCTCTGCCTCCTGCATGCTTCACGGCTCCCCAGATCCCCCTCCCTTCAGCTCTAGGGTGATGCCCTTGCAGGGGCAGGGTCTAACCCTCTGGAAATTTGGGCAGCTGCTACTCCCACAACTCTTAGCCCTTCCTCCCCAGTTCTCTGCTAAGTCTGTGGGGTGAGAAGGGAGTTCCAGGCTCTCTTCTTGGCTATGCTGGGCACCCTGAGGGCACCTTGCCCCAAGACTGCCCCCGGGGTGGCCCTAGCCCTGGTGGCAGGCAGGCAAGGGTTAAAAGGTGTGGGCCGCCCAGTTCCTGGCCAGGTAGGTTGGGCCATTACCTAGTGGGATGTGGCCAAGGCATCTGCCACTGCTGCTCACTGCCACTACCAGCCGGAGCCAGGGCCTGGTCGAGACAACTATTTTTCTGAGGTACCTGAGGCTGCCCCCAGCACTGCCTGGTATTGGCGAGGGGCATGGGGGAGGAGGGCACTGGGGGGCTGGGGTGGAGTGTACTGATGTTCCCTTTGGGAGGGAGCCAGGTCTGTGGTAGAGGTATGTCGGCCATGTGGGGCAGGGCAGGGAGGGTATAGCAAGGAAGGAGGGCCTGAGTAGAGGGGCGAAGGCCAAAATGTCCAATTTCCTTTGCTGGCACAAAGCTGATTCCTAGCTGGAAATGGACAAGGAGGGATGGGGGAAAGAGAAGCATGAATCCCCCCTTCCCTACTCCACCCTCCAACTTCCTCTCCTCTGGTTCCCCCCTGCAGGAGTTGTAGTCTCTGCCCTCCCACAGCCCAGGGCCCAGACCCCCAGGGAAGGCCAGACTGGACTATTGAGAAATCATTGCCCAGGCACCTGCCTGCCTACCCCCCATTTGTTCACTGGAGTGGAAGAAGTGGGGCAGGGGCGTTCCAGGGGAGGAGGGGATAGTCCAGACATTGAGAGTTTATATTTGTTCCAGTAATGGCGGGATGTGGAAATGGGGCCCCCCTCTAACAGTGTTGGGGTGCCACCCAGGTGAGGTATCGTGGTTGTAAACAGTCATTACAGCCAGGAATTTCTTTCTCAGCTGTGGTGTCAGAAGGGCAGACCTGAAAAACCTGCTGGGCTTGCCTCTGGGTATGGGGGGTGCCTTCTGCAGCTCTCCTGTCACAACCCATCCTGGGGACAGGACAGGGCCATGGGTTCACGGTGGGGAGACCTGGGACTGGGTGGGGGTGTATTGAGGAGGGGTTGCTGGGATCCCCTTCTCACCACCTCTAGGTAGGGACAGGGCAGCCCCGGGTCCCAAGGCAAATGTGTAGAGAGCAGGTGAGCAGAGGCAGAGGTTTGGGAACTGGGCGTGGGGGTGTGGGGCGTTGACCCTGTGTCTAGCCTGCCCAGTAACCCCATGACTCATGCCCTAGCTATGTTCCCGAGGTCAAGCTGACAGGAAAGAGTCGGGGTTCCTGTATGGACCCTGTGTTGACTTCTATGATGCCCTGAGCTCCCAGAGAAGGAAGGATTGAGGTAGCCCAGTGTGGGATGTGGGACCAATCCTGGCAAATGGGCCAGTCAGGGGAGGATTTGGGTTCTTTTTGGTGTGAAGGAAGTTTCCAGGGAGCCCTGCAAGAGTTCCCCAAACCCAAATGGGGGCGGGGAAAGTAGGAGCCCCAGGAGCCAAGGGGCAGAGGAGGCTGCACTGGGACGTCGAGGAAACCCTGCCATGCTGGGAAACATCGGACCTTAGATGGGTGGGCTCGTGAGTGCCTCTGCAAAGTACACACTGGGGCCTGGATTTGTCAAAGGCTTTAGGGGCTAACTCCTCCCCCTGATGGTGAGGACAGGATGCCATTGCTTCAAGGGAGGGGTACAGTCCTTGTAAGGCAGATAGAAGGAATGGAAAAAAACTGGTGGCACCTAATAGGCAGCTCAGCCACACCCCACAATATGTAGGTGGGGAAGGGGCTTGATCCCATGCCTCCTTGGTTGTCTGGATCTTCCTCACACCAGGCTTCCACGTTATGACAAACCGTGGATTTCAGGGATAGGAACTTCATGGCCCCAAGAGGCCTTTCCAGTCACCTGCTACTGAGGTTAGCCCAGGTGGTAGGAGGTGATGTCACCAGGCTGCCCAGCTGGGGACTGAGCAGGATGTGGGAGGGAGGGAGCAAACTCCAGAGGAGGGGACGAGGGCAGGGCTGGAGGCCAGCCAAGGCAGGCTCCATGGGCAGCCAGGCCGTCTGGGGGCAGAGAAGGAGGCAGGAGGCAGGTGGTTTGTTATCTGCAGTTATGGACTTTGCTTCTCACAAATTCTGGCAGAGTGACTTCTCTATGTTAGTCTCCAGACAGGCTGGGGTGGGAGAGGGGCTGGAGGGACCCTGGGGTCAAACGAGCACTCTCCTCGTTGTGCCGGGGCCGCAGGATGGAGTTGGGACAATCTGGGCTTGAACGCTGGCTTTGCCACCTTGTCATTCGTTTACTCAGTCGTTTATTCATTCAACCAGCCTACATTCATTGAGCACTTGTGTGTACAGCAGTGTTCAAGGTGCTGGTGATATTGATGAAAACGGGACAGATAACATTTCCTGTCTGCATGGATGTACGGGGGAGGCACAATCTCTTGTTGGATGGCAATTGTGAGAGGACAGGAGCTCACCTCTGGAAGTGACATTTGAGCCCCAGGATGATAAGTGAGAAGCATAGGCTGGGGTGGTGAGAGGTTGAAGAAAGCATTTCAAAGAGCAGTCCCAGCCTGGGCAAGGGCCCTGAGGCCTGAGGGACTGGGAAGCTTTGGAGGAAGTTGGTGGAGTTGGGGCAGCTCTACCCAGAGAGCGTAGGACCGGAGGGGTGGGCCTGGGCAGTGTCCTTGGCTGTGGGTAAGTTACTCTGTGCTTTCCTCTCCTCATCTCTAAAATGGGAGTAACAGTACTCCTGGGTGGTTGTGAAGATTAAATGTGGCATAGTAGGTAACTGTTCTGGGCACCCAAGTGCTTAATAAGTTCCCACTGTTATTACAGTTCGTTGAATCTGTTACCATTAATTCTTTCTCCCCAGGCAAGACTCCTGGCTGTGGCCCATGGGCCTCTGAGGAGGCGTTGTAAGTCCGCCCAGCTCCCCACTTGCTGTCCTCCCACTCAATGGGAAGGGAACCAAGGTACCAGGGCCACGGGGGTCCAGACTTCCACACACATTCTGAGAAGGCAGGTCCAGCAGGTGGGAGGGGCCCAGGGTACCCTTTATTCCCAGCTGGAGCGTGGGAAGCTGGGAAGGGCTGGGGGTTGGGATGTCACGGGATGTGCTTCCTTAATGGCTTCTATGTGTCACTGCCAGACCTTGTCCAGCCATCAGCCACAGCCTCTCGACAGCACCAGGATGGAAGTCAAAGGTCAGCTGATCAGCTCTCCTACCTTCAGTGCCCCAGGTCGGTGGCTGGTCTCCCTCCTGCTGCCTCCTCCTCTGCTCTGAGTCACTAGCTGCCCACTTGGGAAGGGTTGGTGCTGGCCCTGTGGCTGTTCCAGGGTGGCCTGGCTGTCTCACTGATCTTTGCTCCCTCTGTGTCCAGCTGCCCTGTTTGGAGAGGCTGCCCCCCAGGTGAAGTCAGAGCGTCTGCGGGGGCTGCTTGACCGGCAGCGAGCCCTGCAGGAGGCCCTGAGCCTGAAACTTCAAGAGCTTCGCAAAGTGTGTCTCCAGGAGGCGGTGAGGGCCTGGCCCTAGGGGTCTCAGGTGGGGGGTGAGGAGCTGGGGCCCCAAGATAGGCAGACTTTGGTAGCAATTGCTGAACCATTTGTCTGGGATGTAGATTCCTTGTCACCCCCTGTCCTCAAAGCTCAGCTTAGATGTCTTAGAATCAATGAAATACAGTAATGCAGGCTCACAATCCCCTATCAACAATTTGAAATCCAAAAATCTCAAAAAACAAAAGTTATCTCCAAAATTTGGCAGCACAACCTGCCCTGAACTGACATGGGATGATTTATAGTTTCGATTTACCCCTCTTAGTGTGACTGTCCACACAGTTTGCCAGAAATAATAACGTGGCTCAGACCATGCAGCCCTAGACCCGGAAGGGAGTTTTATGTAATATGCAGTATGGAGACTGTATGGCCTTTATAAAAACTTAAATATTCTGGATTCCAAAGCAGGTCTCCCTGCCTCCCACGGCCACTGCCCCATGGGTTTGGGCCACTGAGGGACTGAGAGTCTACACTTCACACCTGCCTGGTGAAGATATTGGGAGGAGGAAGAGAATATCGTACATGGGCTACTGAGTAGGACTTCTGTAGCTTCTGGGATCATCACTGCTTTACCCCATCCCCCAACTAACCCTTGGTAGTCTCTGACCCCCGCCCCCTACAGGAGCTAACTGGCCAGCTGCCCCCTGAGTGCCCGCTAGAGCCTGGTGAACGGCCCCAGTTGGTCCGCCGACGGCCTCCTGCAGCCCGTGCCTACCCTCCACCACATCCCAACCCAGCACACCACTCCTTGTGCCCCGCTGAGGTAAGCAGATGGGCGTGGGGAGCAAGATGGTGGGGAGAGGGGACAGGTACAGGGGAGGAGCCTGGAGGGAAACACGGGAGAGGGAAGGTTGAGGCCAGGGGAGGGAGAGGCTAAGATGAGAAGGGAAGGCTTTGAGGGGGTGGGTTCCTGCTCTGAGGGAGGATGCTGTTTCCTCACTCTGTCAGGACAGGCTTCAGCCCTCAAGAAGATATATAGGCCCAGCCCCTAATCCAGATGGGCCCTGGCCCCAGAGGATGAATAAACTCCACCCCTAGGTGGTTAGGCCTGCCCTCAGGAAAAGCAGGCCTACCTCCCCACCACTGCCTGGTCCCTGTGTCTGGCCGTTTCCAACATTTGGTCCTGTCCCACACCTCTTGGGTGGACCCCACAGGAGCTGGCTCTTGACGCCCTAGAGCGCGAGGTGTCAGTGCAGCAGCAGATCACAGCAGCTGCCCGCCGCCTGGCCCTGGCCCCTGAGCTGAGCGCTGAGCAGCGCCGGCGCCGGCGCCAGGTCCAGGCAGATGCACTGCGGAGGCTGCACGAACTGGAGGAGCAGCTCGGGGACGTCCGAGCCCGCCTTGGCCTCCCAGTGCTTCCGCCACCCCAGCCACTGCCGCTGTCCACGGGGGCAGTGATCACCACGCAGGGAGTCTGCCTGGGCATGCGCCTCACTCAGCTCAGCCAAGGTGAGCATCCCCCAGTGAGAGTGGGAGAGTGCACTGGCTAGTGGATGTGGCAGGGGTGGGATGGGTGAACAGCCAATGAAGACTGGGAGGTTGGCAGAGCTTAAGGGACCCAGCCAGTAAGGAGAGTCGCGCGATAATCTGGCTGGGGGAATGGCCGTGAGGCACTGACAAATAGGCACCAGGAAAGCCAGGAACCAAGCCGTGATGGTCTTGGACTCAGGTAAAGGCAGATTCTTGGGAAGGGAGCAGGGTGAGGAGGAGACCGCCCAGAAGACAGGCCAAGCGGAGGCAGCCATCCAGTGGTGCAAGGGGGTGGCACCCAGGCCTGAGAGTGAGAGGCCCGTTTTCCCCTTCTCCCTTGCAGAGGATGTAGTTCTGCACTCGGAGAGCAGCTCCCTCTCAGAGTCTGGGACCAGCCATGACAATGGTGAGGACTCCTATCTCCACCCCTGCCCCCACCCTCTCCTGTGTGCTCTCAGCCTGTACTTTGATACTCAGCACCTCCCCTACTTCTTCAGCTCTGCCTTAGTCATACCCCATTTCCTGCAGCCCCATCTTCTCAGCCTCATCCCAGCCCTGCCTCCTCAGCCCCTTCCCTATCCTTTTTGCCTTGGTCCTCCTCAGCCTGTGTCCTGGCCCTGTGCCCTCCCTGCTCCCCAGCCCTTACCCTTTGCTTTGCCCCCATCCTGTCCTGCCCGCACTGGGCCCACTCTCATTGAATTCTGCCCCACTTTCTCTCTTCTACCCAGAGGAGCCCCGTGGCTGCTTCTCTCTGGCGGAGCGCCCCTCACCACCCAAGGCCTGGGACCAGCTTCGGGCAGTATCTGGGGGGAGCCCTGAGCGGCGAACCCCATGGAAACCACCCCCGTCAGATCTTTATGGGGATCTGAAGAGCCGACGGAACTCTGTGGCCAGCCCCACCAGGTGAGGATGAGCCCATTCCCTCCCTTCCCCAGGAGCCGGGAAGGGGATCCTGAGCCTGAGTTGGCAGGAGGGCTCACTGGTGGGTACAGTCTCTAACCTGGGCTCCCACCTGGGCCTGCCCATCTCTGTCTAGCCCCACACGCTCGCTGCCCAGGAGTGCCTCCAGTTTTGAGGGGCGAAGTGTGCCTGCCACCCCTGTCCTCACTCGGGGCGCTGGCCCCCAACTCTGCAAGTAAGGGGAATCTGAGGGTGGGTTTGAGAATCAGAGGAGGGAACCGTTAGTTCTCACTAGAGGGCTGAGGAAGGCATTATCAAAAGGTGTGGGACATGAGGGGCTGGGCTTTGAATGGTGAATAGAAGTTGTCTTGGTGGAGAAGAGTGGGGTAGGGATTTGGGGCAGAAGCACCACAGTTTGAGTATGGGCTTTTCTGTGCATTTTGAACAAGTCATTCCCCTTCTCTGAATCTTTGTCTCGTTTGTGAAATGGGCATAATATCTCCCTTTGAAAGACGGAGGCATAATAAGTTCTGGTTAACATGTACTGGGTGCCTACCACCTGCTAGGAATCAGTGCTTTTTTTTTTTTATTTCAGCATATTATGGGAGTATAGATGTTTAGGTTACGTATGTTGCCCTTGCCCCCCCCTCCAAGTCCGAGCTTCAAGCGTATCCATCCCCCAGATGGTGCGCATCGCACTCTTTGTGTATGTAGGAATCAGTGCTTTACATGGCATCCACTAGTTTAATCATCATAAGATCCCTATGACGTGGGTGCTGTTGTTGTTCCCATTTTATAGATGAGGAAACTGAGGCACAGAAAAGTTAAGTAACTTGTTAGTGAACTGAAATCCTGGAGCTTGAACCAGGCAAGTTTGACTCTAGACTTCATGCTTTTAACCACTATACTGTCCTGCTTCACTAAGTGCCTACTTTTCCCAGGCTGTTAAGAAAACGAAGTTTCTGTCCTCGTGGGACTTGCATTCTGTAAATGGTGGCTGTGGGAATGATAGGTTGGGTGCTTCATACACATGGTGGGGTGAGGACCAGGACGTCATCCTGGAGGCAGTGGGAGCCATGAGAAGGGCCTTAGCAGGGGAAGAGGGGTCAGGCGTCAGGCCCTCCTCTGCTTGAGGTGCCTCTGCAGCCTTATGCACATTTATGTCTCCCTTGGAACCAACAGCCCCAGCCCCCCATACATTTGCAACCCCTGTGCCCCCAGTCTTCAGCGAGAGAACCCCGGCTGCCCTTTACGTGCCACTACCTAATACTTTATACACACAACTTCTAATCCTGGGCCCGTTTTGGAGATGTGAAAGTGAAGGCTCAGAAAGAGATGGGGATAGGGAGGGGACTCAGGCCATCTGCGTAATTTTTCTGGCCCTATTCCCATTATGCCATCTCTGTGCCCAGACCCGAAGGCCTCCATTCTCGCCAGTGGTCCGGCAGCCAGGATTCCCAGATGGGCTTCCCCCGGGTGGACCCTGCCTCCGATCGGGCCTCCCTCTTCGCAGCTCGCACCCGACGCAGCAACAGCTCAGAGGCCCTGCTAGTGGACCGGGCAGGTGGTGGGGGAGCCGGCTCCCCGCCTGCCCCTCTGGCTCCCCCTGCTGCCGGCCCACCGGTCTGCAAGAGCAGTGAGGTGCTGTATGAGCGCCCCCAGCCAACCCCTGCCTTCTCTTCCCGCACAGCTGGCCCCCCAGACCCTCCCCGGGCCGCCAGGCCTAGCTCAGCTGCCCCTGCCTCCCGAGGAGCCCCCCGGCTCCCACCTGTGTGTGGGGACTTCCTCTTGGACTATTCCCTGGACCGGGGCCTGCCCCGCGGTGGCGGTGGGGCAGGCTGGGGGGAGCTGCTGCCTGCAGCTGAGGTCCCAGGACCCCTTTCCCGCCGGGATGGGCTCCTCGCCATGCTCCCCGGCCCACCACCTGTGTATGCAGCTGACGGCAGCAGCCCCCTCCTCCGCAGCAAGGACCCCCACACCCGTGCCACCCGTACCAAGCCCTGTGGCCTGCCCCCAGAGGCCGCCGAGGGTCCAGAGGTGCATCCAAACCCTCTGCTGTGGATGCCCCCACCCACCCGTATCCCCCCGACTGGCGAACGCAGTGGCCACAAGAACCTTGCCCTGGAGGGGCTGCGGGACTGGTACATCCGGAACTCCGGACTGGCCGCGGGGCCCCAGCGCCGGCCTGTGCCCCCCCACATGGGCCCACCACACCCACCCTTCCTCCATACCCGCTGCTATGAGGTGGGCCAGGCGCTCTACGGGGCCCCCAGCCAGGCGCCGCTCCCACACTCGAGGAGTTTCACGGCGCCCCCTGTCTCCGGCAGGTATGGGGGGTGCTTTTACTGATGGGTAGAGGTCTCGAGGCAGATGGTGAAGATATCCAGGCCAGGGAGCAGCTAGTCAAGAGAGCTAATGAATTGGACCACAAGGAAACTAGCTGCAGCACTGGCACAGGGTCACTGTACCGTGCATGACCTGCGTTAGTCCAGGGGTTCTTGGTGGAGGGGGCTCTTGGGCACTGGTAGCAGCAGTTCTTTACCAAGCACTAGAAGAATTTTAATAATTTAGCAACCAGTGCATGTCAGCTGAGAATGAGCCTTGAAGGCAGGGTGCCAGGAAGAAGGGACATCTTGTGCCCCTTGCCTTTGTCTTCCTCTTTTCTCCATGCCCCATGCTTGGGAGCCTGAGGGTGCTGTCCTGTGCCTGCCTCCACCTCTTTAACGAGCCTCTTTTCCTTTCTCTTTCTGTGTCTTGTCTGTCTTTTCCTCTCTTCTCTGTCTTCCCTGCCCTGTCCTCCGGATTCCTGCTACCCCTTCTAAAGATACTACGCGGACTTCCTGTACCCCCAGGAGCTGAGCGCTCGTTTAAGTGACCTGACGCTCGAGGGGGAGCAGTCCTCCAGTTCTGACCCCCAGACCCCGGGGACACTGGTCTGACCCCTTCTGATATGCCCCTTGTTGGCATGGGCATGACTCTAGTCTGGGGAGCATACAGCTGACCTCGCTGAGCCCTGGGGTGTGGTTGCTCTCAGTCCTGGGTGGGCGCCAAACTGATCTTCCAAGGCCCCTTGGCTCCCTGTGGGCCCAGGAAGTTGTCTGACACCCTGCTTCTCCTCTCACACTGTGCTGGGGACTGGGGGGCCTCAGCCAGCTTAAAAGAGGGGGATGATGTCATGGGGACTCCAAGCCCCTTCCTCCATTTCTGTTTACAGTTGTGATTTAGGTATTTGCTGTCTTCCCCCAACACTACACATTTTATAAAAGGGAAACTGTGACCTTGTCCTGGTTGGGTTCATTCCTGTTCCCATGCCCAGCCTGTTCTATTCAGAACCACCCCCTGCCAAATGGACCATGTAGGGTCTCAGGGCCCTATTTGGGGCAGCCAGGAGACTCCAGTGTGAACAGAACTCCCTGCCACCCCTACCAGGGAAGTTCTGGGGAAGGAGGGCTCTCTGCCCACATTTGGAAGGATTGCAGTCTGGGTGGGGTGCCTGAAGGAGCCCATCCCCGTCTGTGCCCATGGCCTCTGCCCTGACCATCCCCAATCAGGAGGTCCCACAGTAGGGGCAAAGGGCAGAGCCATTGGGTGTGTTGTGTCCTGGGATGCTGCGGAGGTTGAACCTGGCATCTGGTAGATGCCAGTAAAATCCTCAGGTGATGTCTGGCCACGGGCCACAGGCCATGTCACATCTTCCTTGGCTTTCCTTCCATTTACCACTTTTTAAACCAATCTACACAAGCTGTGTTTTCTATGATACCTGTCTGTGACTTTCTGGAGCTGGGGGCTCCCCTACCCCCCTTACCTGGTGTTAAACTTTTCTTTTTGTACCAATGGATCTGGGCCCAAGACACTACCCACACTGGAAGGGGATTTCTATAATAAATATGTAAACTGAACCCATGTGTTGCTCCTCTGTTGGCCTTGCCTTGAGGGCCCACACATTTAGTTAGGAGTAGATAACATATTTTTACAAGAAAAAAAATACAACACCATCAACACCATGGCTGGGCACAGTGGCTCATGCCTATAATCCCAGCACTTTGGGAGGCCAAGATGGGAGGATCACTTGAGGCCAAGAGTTTGAGACCAGCCTGGACAACATAACAAGACCTTTTTTTTTTTTTGAGACAGAGTCTCACTGTGTTGCCCGGGCTAGAGTGCCGTGGTGTCAGCCTAGCTCACAGCAACCTCAAACTCCTGGGCTCA